CCTACCTGCAGCACTCCCACCCCGGCGACGGCGGCGGCGGCACGATGCCCTTTGACTTCAGGAGGTGAGTGTCGCGAGCCCGGTCACCCGGGAGCCCCTTCTGCAGGCCAAGGGGACACCCGACCCGCCACGGACCCCGCCTGCCCTGCATGCAGACGTAGCCCCCCAGCCTGGTGCGCGTCTGGGGAAGCCTTCGGGGACCTGGCCTTGCACTAAGCCAGAGCTTCAAGGTCCCCGGTGTGCAGCCAGAGACAAATCCATCCACCGCAGCTCTGCAGAGCCCCCGCCCCAGCCAGCCTGGACACCTTGCATTCCCTTTCTCCCAGCACGGAAAACAGATTTCCTCCAGTTGGGAACCAACCAGCACCCCTTCCTCCCTCCCGAGCCTCCTTTAGTGGACCCCACACTAGCTGACAGGTGGGGCCGAGGTACCCCGCCTGAGCGCTCAGAGCTGCAGAGCTGGCAGCTCCAGCCCTCCGGGCAGAGGCCGGAGGCTTGCAGGTTAACTAGCCTGAGGCGCCCTGTGCTCCTGTCCTCGCCCCTGGCCTTGGCCCTGTCCTCTGGGTCTGGGGGCACTACGGGAAGGGGAGGAGGCCAGGGGAGGAGGCCGGGAGCCTTGGATAGGGCTCTGCAGAGAGACCAGCAGGGCTTGGTCTTGGCTTTCTGCAATCCCACAATGGGTCCTTTGTGGGGTCCAGCTGCCTCGTGGTCCACTGTTGGTCCACTGTTGTGCCGGGCCAGGTGTTCTGGAAACCTGCCCAGGAGGGGGTCTCCACCAGAAGTTCCCTTGAGGTATGGAACTCCAAGGGATTGCCCTTGGCTGAGGCTGGGCAAAGAGTAGAGCTTTGTAGGAGAAACTGGGTTAGAACCTGGTTCAACTCTTTTCACGGAGCAACTTGATGTATTCTAGAAGTAAGGGCAAAGGCTCTAGGTTCAGACCTCCACTCACGGTTGGCTGGCCCAATAAGTGTCTGAGCCCTCTCAGTTTCATCACTTGCAGATTGGCACTAAAAATAAGCTCCACACCTGCAAAGACTGAGTGCATGAGAAACCTTGATCACGTTTGCATAGCTTGCAGCTTAGAAGTAGGCATCACTAGACAAGGGGCCTCTCCATGAGTATTTTCCACATCCGTAAAATAGAAATTCCACTATGTCCTTCACAGGAGGGATTTTCTCCTCTCCTCTTACAGGGGTGAATGACAGGGTAATGTGACAGCCCAACCAGAAAGGTCCCTTTCCTGTTGTGACCCCAAAGCATGGGGCATGCTGGGTGTAGGTGTAGAGAGGGTGTCGGCTTGAGACTTCAAACAGCTGACATGTTGTTCCAGCCTGTTCTGATCACCAATGCCATCTGGCAAACATTTACCAGCTTCCTGCTCCTTCCAGGCAGCCTGAGCCTGGTAGCAGGGTCCCTGGGACAAATGCAGACTGAGGGCAGTTATGAATAAGGAGACCCCCAATGATGGAATTCAGAGGCATTCCTGACACCAACAGTGAGTGTCCCCACCACTGGGCCATGGTTAGCACACTGTCTCCCCGTCCCTGGGCTAACAATAGATTTCCCATGTGAGTCAGTAAGTTCCAGTGATTTCGATTTTGTTGGACAAATCACTGTCTCTGATCAATTAATCCTTTCACTCTGCACTCTCCCCACCCTCATTGCACAGAGGAGAAAGTGGAGGCTCTAGGGCTGAGGGTCTTGTCCTGGACTTCCTCAGTGCTTGCATGGAAGATGAACCTGGGTCCCAGTTGGAAGTGTGAAGGTCAAGTAAGGTGGAGGAAGGGAAACTGATGGGACTAGCTCTCGCCTTTGGCCTTAGACGATCCTGCCTGTTGCCAGCTCTGTGTTAGGCACTGATAGTTAAAGGAGACACGGCTCAGTCCTGAGAAGCAGCTGCTCTAGCACTCCTGGGCATGCTTCAGGTCTTGAGTGCCCAGGTGCCATGGAGGCCCTAGCTGAAGGAGGCAAGTTAATAAGTTCCTTGAGAGCTTGGGCTCAGAATGGTGAGAATGGAGCCAGCACATTGCCTGGGCACTATGGTGTGTGGGCCGTGTGTGCCCAGCAAATCTGCACTCTTGGGATCTCTTGACCACAAGGCTCAGGACTTGGTGCTAAGAAAGTGGTGGCCAGTCCCCACATCCCTTCCTCCTCTTTAGTGTCTACTCATCAAGCATTTGCTGGGTGTCTACACTATGCTCTGCCATCTACCTGTCATGGGGAGATGGGTGGCACATGATCCATCCCAGGAGTAAGGGGAGGAGAGTGTGTTTGGGTTCCCAAGGGTAGGGTGCCAGCGGTGTGCAGGGGAGCACCTACCACTGCACAAACATCTCGACCTCCATTTTCTTGTCACCTGAGAGAACTCTGAATCTTCATTCTAAATCCCAGAATCTGGACACTCCATAGTGGCAGCTCTATCTTGGGCCACACAGCACCCAAGTTGGGGAGGCTGGGATTGGACTCCGGACTGTCAGTTCCAAAGCCTTTGCTTTGGAAGAGAAGGCAAAGTTTGGAAGGTCCCACCACCCTGTCAGATCTTTCAAGTATGGTGGGTTGTGCTGAGGGGCAAACTATGACTGGGAATGCCCACTTCAGCCCCAGCCACTGCAAGGCAGGAGAAAAATGGGTTCCCTGTTGCTTTTCTTAACACAATGAAGAGAGGGGGAAAAAATAGCCACCTCTTACCTTGCCTATCCATTGTCCTGGTTTCTTACTGCCCGTATGACCTCGTGCATCTTATATAGTTCTGGTATATTTTCTTGTCTGTGAAGTGGGAACATGAGCACACCCAGGAGGACTGTTGGACGGCGTGTATAAAGTATTTGAGACGCACAGTGAGCATCCAGTACATTCTGACTGCTGCATCCAATATTTGTGTCCTTTCCTTTAGGCACCAATCATCTAGCACTGTATAATTCACTTAATTATGAAGCTTATTCTCTTTCTCCTTCCCATTAGGATGGGAGCTCCTGAGGGCAAGGATTTGTATCTGGCTTTTTCAAGGCATATTCCCGATGCCTAGAACAATACTTGAGCCAAGCTCACCCCTTAGAAATGCCTCTCAAATTGTGTCAAAGAAGCCAAAGGCATGCTGTGATTACATATGCCAGTGCTTCCGTTAGCAGGCAGATTTACAGTTATTAGTGGAGAATTCTGTCCCTTCTTCCATCCCTCCCTTTTTCCTCTCTCTCCCTCCCTTTTCTTTCTCTCCCTCCTTCCTTTCTTTCTTTCTCTGGAGATGGTCTTGTGCATGTTAGGCTTTACCACTGAGCCCCTCCTCTCTATCCTCAAGTTTGTTTTGGGGTTGACGGAGGGGGAAGAATACAGAGCAGGAACCCTGAGGCTTAAATGATTTCCCCTGTTTGTTCTTGTTAAACTGCTTCCCTGAAAGCTGGATGTTGCACTTGTGGAACTGGCCTTGTGACCTAGATCCGGGGCGGTGTTATTCCTAGTTCCGGCTGGCCTGAGGCCAAGAGCACCTGCCCTCCCCTCCTGAGGCTGGGACAGACCCAGCCTAGGAGGGAGGAGGGGGAAGAAAAGAACAGGACAGACTCTGTACCTCAGGCCCAGGGGAGCCTACACCTTTCTTTCAGGAGCAGGGGTCCAGTGGTACCTCCCCTTCAAACTCTAGGTCCTGGGGAATGTCACTACCCTACCATGGCCAGCTGTGCCCTTGGACAGTGCACTTACACTCTTGGAACCTCAGTGTCTTTGTTTCAGGAGAGGATGGTCACCTTCACTGCCTCACATGATATGTAGTTGTAAGGCCAGTGAGATGTCTGCAGTGTTGGGCCAGGGACAGTTTTGGGGCCCAGTGCAAGATGAAAATGTGGAGTCCCTATTGAAGAAGAATTAAAAATTTCAGGATGGTGACAGCAGAGCATTAAGCCAGATGTGGATCCCTGTGAGCATGTCACCCTGTGTGACAACACAGGTCCTAGGTCCTATGCCCTGTGAGGCTCGCCCTCCTTTGGTCACCTTACTGTGGCTTTCCACATGGTCCCTCCCTGTCCAGGAGACCCCAGACCTCCTGAGGACCTCAGAGTGAGCTTTCATTTTTTTTTTTTTGAAGGGGGGGCGGGTACCGGGGGATCTTCTGATTTGCAAGGCAGGTGGCAGAACCATTGAGCTAAATCCCCAGCCTCAGAGTGAGTTTTCAGTTGACCTGATTTTTTTCATGTCTTGGTTCCAGTCTTCAAATGGGTCTCATTGTTTTGAGAATCAAGTCTGGATGCCTTAGTGTTCCATGTGGCCTTATCTGATGGGGTCCCTGTGACCTTTAGCCCCCTTACTCCATTTACCAGGCACCTCGGGGGACTCAGAATAGCTAATATTCGCAGAGGATGCCCAACATGAATGTCTGTATTTCTGTTCTACCTCTTTCCAGACTGAACTGTGGGAAGCTAACAATAGCACATACTCTACAGCAAGTTTCTAAAAATACAAAGAGGCTTAAAAATCAGATCAGAGGGAAAATTATATATTTTTTTAAAAGCCAGGATTTCATGTTTATCAGGGAGGTACTAGTGGCAGGCACTGTTGTACAAACCTCACGTGTCGGCTCACTTAATCCCCAGCCATCCCGCCTCACTGACAGCCCGCTGAGGTGCAGCGGAGGAGCCAGGGCTGGAGTGCTGCCATCGGGTTCCAGAGCTCCACTGTGTCCTGCCATCTGTCTCTAAAGCTTCTTCTTTTCCATTCCCTAAGTTCAGAGAGGATGGAGGCCTCTTCTAATTGGATTCACTGGTTTCCTCTTCACTAATGCTTACCCATTTGTGCTCATTGTAAAACGTGAGGCTGTCTTCTTTTCCCCTCTCCTTTCTTTCTTTTTTATTTTTCTTTTTTTAAACTAGTCTGTCACCTGATTTTGGAACTTTCTATTACTAAAGAACATCACCCCCCCACACACACACACTCCAGTTATAGCCTCTCATCCCAGAGCACCCAGAGTTTTCCATACTGACCACTGGGGGCTTTTGAGTTGAAAGCCCACGTTCACCTGCTTGTCTGGACTTGGCCAGGGGAAAATTATTCCCCCCCTTGAAGTGTGGATTCCTGGCC